TTCTATGATTCTATGATTTTTTCCACAGCAGCAGTGCAGTGGGCAGTGAGGAGGGCAAGCCCCTGATGCCAGCAGGCACACCAACCATCTAGAGAAGCACGCATACCTTAAGGAACTGACGCCAGCACCTGTGAGCTTAGGCACTGCCAGTACCTCTGTCAGTACCAGTATGGTCCTCCAGCATCCTATCAGGTACTGAAGTAGGTTCTAATTACATTTAAGTTGGCCACCCACAGCCATTATTAAGACATTTGCGTATTCTGCTCTTCCAAAAGCCCCAGTGACAGACAGAACAATCTCACTGGTAAATAACAGTTTAACAAACATATGCTTTATATAAAATAGTCCTTATTTATTCCCCTTACATTAGGAAGTGTGTCTTAAGCTTTTGGTAATGCTGGTAAGCCTGTGGTGAGATAAGCTTCTGTCAAGTTCTGGAGTTCTCCTATATTCAGGCTGAGACGACCTTACGAAAACAGAGCACACAGAGCCTTTGGATATGTGTACTACTACCTAAAAATCATACTACCTCTTCAAATAGCACAGACTTCATACGTTTGGAGAGAACTTCCTTCTGTTCTCCACAACCACCGTTAGCGTTCTTGATAGAGAATCATGAATACAAAAGGGAAACCTGCACTGTTTCTCTCTTTTCCCTTTACCACCCTTGAAGAACACGCATTTTGTTAAATAAAGTTATTCACGGAACACTGTGCTTCCCAACCTATTTGCAACTTAATTCAACCTATCTGTAAGCATCTGTCCTATTCTCCCTTGGTTTTCAGGCATTTCAAAGGCAGACATCAGCTGCAAACCTCATTAGCCTGTCGACTGCCCTGTTTGCAGTTCACTGACAGACACACAGAGCAGATCCTTCACTCATCCCTAGAGCAACTTGCAAGTAATAATACATGGGTCAAACTTAAATCCTGGTTTGGGACAAACTCATTTTCAGAGAATAAGATAAGCAGCGTGCAGTTCACACCGCAAACAGCCATAAAGGTTTCACATTCCTCTTTTGCTGAAGATCCAATTTTCTGTTTAGTTCAGCATTTCACCTGGATTTAATACTTACTTTCTGAGTAGTTACCTGAATACTAGCTGAAAAGAAATAAAAAAGAACAAAAAAGCCTGTCTTTAGGCATCATCCAAAAGAGCAGTATGCACAACTGCTTCAGTTTCCAAACAAATGCTTCTCATCTGCGTGAAAGCCACACTGGAAACGGACCTAAGCCAAGAGATGAGTTTCTTGGATTGACTGGAAAGTTTTGAGAGGAAGGGTGGGGCTATAAATAGAGCTGCTCTAGTTCAGTTCTGCAAAGCTGTCATGAAAATTCACCAGTCCAGACAGAATGTCTGAAACGTCTACAAATCCATCCATTGTGTGAGAATTTTGGAAGCTTGGGGGAAAAAAAAAAAACAACCGACACAGTTATTTTGCTAGCCTGTCCAAGAAAGTAATGATCATGGGCAGGAAAACAATTCCATTTCTGCAAAACCATTTTAGAATGAGGATGGCAAAATTTAGAGAGTTTGGTGTTCCCAATACTCATTAATTCCAAGGATAACCTGTCCAAGTGTATCTTCTGGGGCCATCTTTCCAACACACAACCCGGTCACCTTCAAGATGACACTGCAAAATTATAGTTTTGAAGATTATTGATAGTAACATTCAATTATACAGACCGTATGTTAACAATTCCTCCCTTTTTCTGCTTATCTGTGGTTTCTTCATGTCGCCTTAGTTGGGCGAGTAGTTCCGATTCTGTCTGTTTCTTGTTGAGCGGGAGGGAAGATGCAACTGCAGAAACGGCCTCCACCAGTTCTGGATTTAAAGGTTTGCCTCTGTAAGAGATGCAACAGATGTGGAGATAGAAAAAAAAGAAAAGCCTTAACATATTTCAACTGTAATTCCCCTACTGTCGTTTTTTGTCTTAAAAACTCAGAAGTTACACTTACACGTTACCCCACATGGCCAGGGGGGCAGCCAGGTTTGCCCTATGTTGCTCTAACCATCTCACTGTATTTTATCTGAACAGTGTTTCCCCCCTCCCATTAAAACAACTTGCCACAGGCAGATGCTAGTGCTACCCTTCCAGATTCTCAGTGCAGAAAGAGGGAGCACGTGGTAGGAATACAACATCTTTTGCCCAGATTGTCCCGTGATTTACTGTAATCTACACCTGTACACCTCATCGCCTTATATGATTATTTTCCATACCTGCAAATGGCATTTGATGCTTCATTTTTGTCCTAGATAATTTTTTTTTTTTTTTAAAAGGGAGAAAACAGGCTAAGAAAAGTGTGTTATATTTTACCGCTGGGCGTCTTCCATAGTTCTCTGAAGCGTAGTACCTTCACCGCCTGGGCCTTCCAGCTTGTTTGTGGCTTGCTTTTTGATATCACGTGTTTTTAGCTCTTGGAGTTTCTTCCTGTAGCTCACTTCTACTTTCATATTACCAATAATGTCTAACAACTTCTGCTTTGGTGTTTCCGCTGTACCCTCCCGACTCTTGGATGCCACTTTAGTGGTGCTGTCTTTGGAAGCAGCAGATTTATCTTCCTCAGTAGAAAGCACATTGCTTGTGCTGAAGAGTCTCTGTATTTTGCTAGATGATACATAAAGGGTTTTTTTAAGAGATTAAAAAAAAAAGTCAGAAATTACAAATAGGGTCCAAGGCTGAAGTTTGCAAGCCTGCAAAAAAAACTATTAGTTACAACTTTCTCAGCCTAGCTGAGTGCAAAACAAGTATGTTAAGTACATGTCAAACACATACCCTTTGATTTTTCAGAAGGGCTAGGGCACTATTTAAAACCTTCCATTATTTATGGTTTCTTCATCACAAAAAAATCACATTAACAACCTTATTTCCTCCACAAATAAGCTACTTCATCTGGGACCTGAAAACTTTCCAAGTACCTCTGCATCAGGTAGCAGACTGAGAGTTTGAATCTACTGGTACCCCAAAAATGTATTAGGGCTGTAGAAAACTCACTGTAACTCTTAAAATGAGACAACAAAGAGATCACTCTTGGCCACCTGAAAAGAGATTTTACACACACATTTAGCTTCACTTTGGTTTAAGCTTGTGGCACTACTATGGATGGCATTCCCCTGCCCTATCTCCTGCGACACAGCAGCCAAGCATTTATGCAACCTCACGGGGAAATAGATCCTGCTGCAGGATAACCCAGTAACAAGCACGTTATTTTGGTTGTTTTTCCATCTAGAACAGCTCCTCTCCCTAGTTTACCACATCACTGCAAAGAAGCTAAAACTGGCGCAGGGCAGGTGAGGATGTGAAGCCTGGGACAGCAAGAAGCTGCTCAGGATATTGCGGCAACAGAGACACAATTGCATTCTCTGGAAAAAGAGCTATCATTCAATTCAAAGAACTGTTTTCTTTAACATTCTAAAATGAAATATTTAAATCTTTACACTCAAAACTACCTTTTTTTGTTTCGTTTCAAAATCATCTTCGAGTTTCTAAAATCAAGAAAAAACTTAGTAGTAAAATACCTTGATTCAAAACAAAACATTTCAACAGATGTTAAACCACTTCAACAAATCTGAAGGCATTTTTACACGTCTTCCTCCCCTCACACACACACACCTCTGGCTAAAAATCTGCTAGTATCAGCCAGCACCACACTAATACTTCAGCCACTCCGTATTTAGTAGGTTATCAGCATTAAATGGTCAGCATCAAATCCTAAATTTCGACGGTGAGAAGCAACAGGAAAATTTAAGGAAAGCTTCAGCACCACGTTACTGAGCAGATGGTAGGAGTCCTGCTGTTTTACACCGAGCTGTTCCCCAAGGATCTTTTCAAACACACGTTTTTCACTCATTCTGGCTGCACTCTCCTTAAAACTGTCCACCCATCCAGAGACCCTTGCTTACGGCGGCAGAAGAACACAGCAGGGCTGCAAGTCTCAAACGTTTAAAGCCAGCTTGCGTTGCTGTATTCCACCTG